TATGGGAGTGATGGACCAGTACAGTATGGGTGTGATGGACCAGTACAGTATGGGTGTGATGGACCAGTACAGTATGGGTGTGATGGACCAGTACAGTATGAGTGTGATGGACCAGTACAGTATGGGTGTGATGGACCAGTACAGTATGGGTATATGATGGACCAGTACAGTATGAGAGTGATGGACCAGTACAGTATGGGTATGATGGACCAGTACAGTATGGGTATATGATGGACCAGTACAGTATGGGAGTGATGGACCAGTACAGTATGGGTATATGATGGACCAGTACAGTATGAGTGTGATGGACCAGTACAGTATGGGTGTGATGGACCAGTACAGTATGGGTGTGATGGACCAGTACAGTATGGGTATATGATGGACCAGTACAGTATGAGTGTGATGGACCAGTACAGTATGGGTGTGATGGACCAGTACAGTATGGGTGTGATGGACCAGTACAGTATGGGTGTGATGGACCAGTACAGTATGGAAGTGATGGAACAGTACAGTATGGAAGTGATGGAACAGTACAGTATGGGTGTGATGGACCAGTACAGTATGGGTATATGATGGACCAGTACAGTATGGGAGTGATGGACCAGTACAGTATGGGAGTGATGGACCAGTACAGTATGGGTGTGATGGACCAGTACAGTATGGGTGTGATGGACCAGTACAGTATGGGTGTGATGGACCAGTACAGTATGGATGTGATGGAACAGTACAGTATGGGAGTGATGGACCAGTACAGTATGGGTATATGATGGACCAGTACAGTATGGGAGTGATGGACCAGTATAGTATGGGAGTGATGGACCAGTACAGTATGGGTGTGATGGACCAGTACAGTATGGGTATATGATGGACCAGTACAGTATGGGTGTGATGGACCAGTACAGTATGGGTGTGATGGACCAGTACAGTATGGGTATATGATGGACCAGTACAGTATGGGTGTGATGGACCAGTACAGTATGGGTATATGATGAACCGGTGTATTGACTTTGACATTGATTTATAGACTATTTTGCATTTCAAATGTTGATTGGCTGGACATACTACTGGTGAATATGGACATATGCATATCTCTCAGTAAATAATAACCCTCAAGTATTGCTTTGATCATATAAAAACATTGACACAATTAACTCTGTACTATTTAAAATGTGAATTTTTGATATTAATAATGTATTTTTTCTAGTAACAATGTCTATTTCTGATATCAGGAAATACATTTTCATTAGTACAACTTCAAGGAGGAAGGATTGTAGTGGGAGCACTGACTGTGTGCCAATGGCTAATGGTTTACATGGGTCAGAGGTCAAGGGTCGGGGTGTGGATTTTTCTCCACACAATCTGGGATCGTGCAGTGCTGTTTGAAGCTCTTCAAAACTCTTTGAAACTGCATTGATTTGGTCATTGTGTGGAGAACAATCCCGAAACGGTTTCGACACACTAACGCCTGTTCCTCATATAGTGCCCTATTTCAAGTTTGTTGGCTTTTAGTCTGAATATGTTAGACTTGCTGTTATCTATAAGCTTGTGTGCTCCAAAACAATGACAAAATCTGCATTTAACAGACCAAACCCAACGTTGAAAGTGAAACCCAGATTGATATTAATCTCCAACGTTGGATAGATGTTGTATTGTGGTTGGAAACGGAGATGGTGTTGACGTCAGAAACCAACATCATTTCATCCTGACTGACGTACTCAAAGACTCTGACAGAAATGTAGTGGAGTAAAACATGATGTTTGTCTTTCAAATGCAAGTTAAAGTAAAATGTTTCCAGAAAAAATGATACTCAAGTTAAGTACAGATACTCTTAAAGTGTACTAAAGTACAGTACTCAAGTCAATACACTTCGTTGCTGTCCACTCTTGCCATTTCTATGATATCAGGGCAGGGGTGTTAAACGCGGACAGATCCTCCTGAAGGGTCAGTTCATCACTGCTCGCCTGTTTTATACCGCAGAATAATATGAGCACAGAATGCTAGTACTGTTTTCAGATCAGTTCTACTGAACACAAATCTGGGAAATTGCGCCCCCTAGAGATAGAAATAAAACATTTCATTATTTTATAAAACAATTGTTGAATTTCTTTGCATTCCTGTCATTGCCACTGCACGTTCTGTGTGATTTGAGAAGGAATTCATCATTTCGTCCAAACCTTGCGTGTATTTCTGAGCAATCGCGCTCTCGCCACTTCTGCGAAGATATCATATAATTTTGTGGGGAATTTTACAGCATTTTTTTTGTGGTGATCTCTTTGTCGCCATTGCAGCCAAAACACATAAGTAGCCTACCAGTAAACATATTTTAATGACAGTTTATTTATTGAACAAAAATGTTTTTATTTATCAAAATAAACAGAACATAGAACAAACTTTGCTCAAGTGATTGTTTTGAATAAGTACCCTAGACATTATTAAAAACTAGTAAAGTAATTGTATAAAAAGGTGAGTGCAGTAAAAGACCCCCTCGTAACTTTATGCGTTTTTAAGATTTTTAAACAAAATAAACCACTTTTATGATTTATTTTCACACAAAATCTGTTGCTCAACCAATTTTCAGTACAAATATAGATTTCAATATCATTTGTTTTGCCTGATGAAGTTCTGATAGGTATAATTATTGCACTTACTCAATAACATTTTGAGTATTAATATCTATGTATGGATATTTACCCTTCTCATCCTGTAAAAGCCTCTCAGAGTTCTTGGGGCTTTTCTTGTTCGAGAAGAAACACTTTTTTATTTAACCCTTGTGTGCATAAACTTTGCATCGTTTAACATTCTTATACTGTCGTGACTGAAAACAAGCCCAGAAAGACACATGCGATCGGAAGACAGTATCATCCCTTGCTTTAACCAGACACTGCCACTTTCTGATCTAGTTTTTCTTCTGATTGATTCGATGTGTGTCCTAATGTCGAGCAGTGTGTGTTAAGCAAAACTAGAACACAGTGAGCAAAAACAGAAGAAAGACAGCGCACTCTAGTGGCCAGAACCAGCTTGCGTTTGGGGGCGACATGGAAAAACATTTCTATTTGGCATTCCTCTCTAATTTAATGCAAACTGAATGATCATTTGGATGAAAGTGAAGATGGATGTGAAGAAAAGGCTATGTTTGGTGTGTTTTATCAGAACTGAACCTGATTTGAGATGATCTGACGAGCCTAAGTGGAACAACTTCTGACTTATTACCTATAATTTTTGGTTATATTTTTCAGGAGCGAGATATAAAGCTTATTATAAATTGCTGATGGACCCGGTGAAGGAGTTTATTTTCCTTCCCAGCGAACAGGGAACGCTCTGGTAAGTTTCTCTCAAAGTTATGAACAAAGGTTCTTCCAGTAACATGAAGCGAACATTCATTCAAAGTTATCTGGTCCTTATAATGTTCTCAAAACATTATTTAAAAAATTGTTCATGGACTGTTTTTAAATGTGTTTTTTAAATTTTACTGCTTGTTTCTGAACGAGAACATTCCAAAATTCCATGTTTGCCGATTGATCCACTGGAATGCTTTCTCCCTAATGTTCACATTACCAGGAAAAAACAAAACAAAAACAAAAACAAAACAAAAAAAAGACATTTTAAAATGTTTACAAAAATCCTGAGCATTCAGTTTTTATAACATAATGAGCATGAACAGAATCTGTGGCTCGGACACTGGGACACGAGGGAATGACCAGAATCAGTCCCTGCAGAAGAGAGATGGAGGGAAGGGTTTATTCACGGAGCGGGGGGCTTTCCCAGGCCTTCTGGAGCGCCAGGATCTGATGAATCCCTGATGATCACAGATATGAAAAGACATGAGAGTTATTCTCCTGAAGAACTTACATCAACACTGAACAATAACAGCTCAAATCTGTTTAATCCACAGAGGATCCGGCACGGGACAATCCAAACCACAGTTCTGAGTATCTGAGTGAACTTCATGATCTGGAATTAAATTATTTTCCTCTTATTCTTACTCCTGAAAAAAAAAAATCTATTTTGATTTCTTAAAAAAAAAAAAAAAAAAAAAAAAAATATATATATATATATATATAGACCATTTCACAAGATGTAAACAACACTGGTCCAGAAGCACTTCCTGTTTCAGTTTTTTAACACTACATAAAAGCTGGGATAAAATACAACCAACAGAACATTTAAAACTGAATCAAAAAGTTAAACAAACATCTTTAAGATGTTTTCTTTACATGTGAAATAAAGAAAACAGTTACAAACTGAAACAGGAAGTGCTTCTGGACCAGTGTTGTTTACATCTTGTGAAATGGTCTATATATATATATATATATATATATATATATATATATATCACATACCAAATTTATGCAGATTTCCTTCATCTTTTTTAATTGTCTGTTTCATTAATATTACATCCAGTATTCCCTTTTGTTAATTACATTTTTGTTTTATTGCACATTTTATTTTTCACGTCTTCGTCTGTTTATATTAGGCCTACTTGTTTGTTTGTTTTTTTGCACTATTATTTATTGTATTTGGTTTGTATTTTATATTTTATATGCACTGTATTTTATTAACCAATGGAATTTAATATCAACCAATGGAAAGGGGAAAATTGTGCATTTACATTTCTGCAAAATGCACAAATGTTAATGTATTATTACTTCTTCATTTGTTTATATTACTTGTTTATTTGGACTTCTGTTTGTTGTATTTTATAGTTTATATTCACAGTATTTTAATATAAACGAATGAAGTGACCATCTTATTGTACTATTCTTCATTGTATTTTATATTGTCCGCAGTATTTTACTCTGTTCTCATTATTTTGACTATGAATGATGTAATAGGATGAGAGAGATGATGTTCCCTTTCTGAACTGAACTCTTCTGCCCCCTGCAGGACTCTGGCTGTAACTGCACATGCGCGTTCTCTGACCGGGATCAGGCTCAAGTTTACTTCACTACCTCAGCACTACCTCGAAACATTGTTAGATCGTTTAAAAAGTCATCGCGAGTTTTAGTCAATGTAATAACATGATTAAGTTTCAGTGAGATCTTTCTCTCCGCCTCTCATTGCGCAACTTTTGGAGAGGAAGCTTCCCAAACCTCAGAGGATATTGCAAAACCTGCTTTTCCTGTGGATATGGAGAAGTGGCACGACAGATCTGACACACACACACACAGACGGGTTCGGGCTCTCATGGACACGTGAAGCTGTCTCTTAAAGCTGTCTCTAGTGCACATGACTGGAGTATAAAGCGCGTTTACTGAGGGAATCTTGTTGTCTCGGGAAGAAGGACTGTAGGTAAGATTCCTCACTTCAGAATCTGTGTTACCTCATTCATTTATACCCATGCTTTAACTTCTGTATGTGGGTTAAACATTTACCACATTTCCTCTGTAAACATGCGGTGAGGAAAATCCATTTAACTCGATGAATGAATGTTCCTGTTCCAGTCTGTTCTGAGACATGGAAAAAGCAGGCTGTCAGAAGTTAGCACACGCTTACTCATTTTTCATTTGTATGTCCTTTCCCGACATTTTAAAATAGACTAACAGTAAAGCCATAAGAATACATCACATATGCAGTTATATGGGAATTATGTAGTGACCCAAACAAAGAGAAGTCCAATTTAAACAAATGAAAACTTTGTATTCGAGCTTCTTCTTTGTGAAGATTTAAGCTGTTCACAAGGTGCATCATGGGAGGCTTTTCAACATGTGCTGCTCAAATGCTTGTGATTTTAGTTGCATAAAAAACTTAAAATAGAGACAAATGTACATTATTGCATTAGATTATGCTAGTTGTTGATCTTTGAGATGTGGCACATAACCGCAGACAGGTATCTGAAGCGGCCGGTAGCCGATGTTTCCATCCACTTGTCCATCGAATTATCTGAAGTTCGGTAAAAAAAAAACCCTCATGCGCTTAAAACTGGTGGAATTGTGTTTCCATCCAACGGAAAAATGAAGAAGGAGATAAATTAGCTTAACAAGCAGCAGTAGAAATCGAGATACCACATAGTATAAAATAAATAAAATCAGTAATAAAAGAGAAAGTGATTAAAAAGTGGCAACAATATTGGGGTAATGAGAGTAAAGGGAGACATTTATATGTAATACAAAAGAAAGTGGGAGAAGGTAGAAAAAAGGGAGAAATAGAAGGGAGGAAATTATAATTACAAGAGTGGGACACACAGGTTTGTTGCAACCATAAAATGACCTAAAACTTAATCGCAATTCATTATTTATTCGGAAAATAACGTTTCCATCAGTGTTTATCACATAAGCGTATATCAATCAAGATAAAATCCAATGAGACCAATCGCATTTCATTTGAGTCGACATTCATGAAATTCAATCGAATTTTACTGTTTCCATAAGGCATGTCTCATTCGATATCACTTAATTCGGATAAAAACGTGTGGAAACAGTTATTAGTTTGTTCAGTATTTTCCTGGCGCTAGTTATTAAATTGACTCCGTTCTGGAAACAATAACTAATTTTAAAGTGTGGTGTTGTTGAAGTCATCATCAGTGGTCAGGTCTTATACACCTCATATCATACACATTCATTTTCATTTTATCATTTAATTTTAGCTTGTTTTGACCATATTATTGCCAGACTGTGAAAAATCAAATGAAAAATCGACTGGTGTAAATACACACTAAAGCCTAATAAAAGCATTCATTCATTCATTCATTCATTCATTCATTCATTCAATCAACAAATAATTTTACACTCATATTTTATATTCACGTTTATTTATTTTTGTTTGTTTATTTAGCCTGGTTTAAATGGCTTTGATATATATATATATATAGTGTTAGCTAACGTTTTGGATCTTGCTGCGATTACTTCTTGAAAACACCAAAACAAGCGGTGAAAGGCCTGTTTTTAGAACATGGAGTGCAGCGTGTCCATGCGTGTCCTCATGCGTGTTCGGACTAAATCAGACCAGTGTGTTCTCATGCGTGTTCTCATGCGTGTCCTCATGTGTTTTCTCATGCGTGTTCTTATGCATGTTCAGAAAGAATCAGACCTGCGTGTTCTCATGCGTGTTGGGACAGAATCAGACCTGCGTGTCCTCATGCGTGTTCTCGTGTGTTTCGGACTGAATCTGACCTGTGTGTTCTCACGCGTGTTCTCATGCGTGTTCGGACAGAATCAGACCTGCGTGTTCTCATGCGTGTTCTCATGCGTGTTCTCATGCGTGTTCTCATGCGTGTTGGGACAGAATCAGACCTGCGTGTCCTCATGCGTGTTCTCGTGTGTTTCGGACTGAATCTGACCTGTGTGTTCTCACGCGTGTTCTCATGCGTGTTCGGACAGAATCAGACCTGCGTGTTCTCATGCGTGTTCTCATGCGTGTTCTCATGCGTGTTCTCATGCGTGTTGGGACAGAATCAGACCTGCGTGTCCTCATGCGTGTTCTCGTGTGTTTCGGACTGAATCTGACCTGTGTGTTCTCACGCGTGTTCTCATGCGTGTTCGGACAGAATCAGACCTGCGTGTTCTCATGCGTGTTCTCATGCGTGTTCTCATGCGTGTTCTCATGCGTGTTGGGACAGAATCAGACCTGCGTGTCCTCATGCGTGTTCTCGTGTGTTTCGGACTGAATCTGACCTGTGTGTTCTCACACGTGTTCTCATGCGTGTTCGGACAGAATCAGACCTGCGTGTTCTCATGCGTGTTCTCATGCGTGTTCTCATGCGTGTTCTCATGCGTGTTGGGACAGAATCAGACCTGCGTGTCCTCATGCGTGTTCTCGTGTGTTTCGGACTGAATCTGACCTGTGTGTTCTCACGCGTGTTCTCATGCGTGTTCGGACAGAATCAGACCTGCGTGTTCTCACGCGTGTTCTCATGCGTGTTGGGACAGAATCAGACCTGTGTGTTCTTCTGCATGTTCAGACAGAATCAGACCTGTGTGTTCTCACGCGTGTTCTCATGCGTGTTCGGACAGAATCAGACCTGCGTGTTCTCACGCGTGTTCTCATGCGTGTTGGGACAGAATCAGACCTGTGTGTTCTTCTGCATGTTCAGACAGAATCAGACCTGTGTGTTCTCATGCGTCTTCTCGTGTGTTCGGACTGAATCAGACCTGCGTGTTCTCATGCATGTTCGGACTGAATCAGACCTGCGTGTTCTCATGTGTGTCCTCATGCGTGTTGGGACAGAATCAGACCTGTGTGTCCTCATGCGTCTTCTCGTGTGTTCGGACTGAATCAGACCTGCGTGTTCTCATGCATGTTCGGACTGAATCAGACCTGCGTGTTCTCATGCGTGTTCTCGTGTGTTCGGACTGAATCAGACCTGCGTGTTCTCATGCGTGTTCTCATGCATGTTCAGACAGAATCAGACCTGTGTGTTCTCATGCGTGTTCGGACAGAATCAGACCTGTGTATTCTCATGCATGTTCAGACAGAATCAGACCTGCGTGTTCTCATGCGTGTTCTCATGCGTGTTCGGACAGAATCAGACCTGCGTGTTCTCATGCGTGTTCGGACAGAATCAGACCTGCGTGTTCTCATGCGTGTTCTCATGCATGTTCAGACAGAATCAGACCTGCGTGTTCTCATGCGTGTTCTCATGCGTGTTCTCATGCATGTTCAGACAGAATCAGACCTGTGTGTTCTCATGCGTGTTCTCATGCGTGTTCGGACAGAATCAGACCTGCGTGTTCTCATGCGTGTTCTCATGCATGTTCAGACAGAATCAGACCTGCGTGTTCTCATGCGTGTTCTCATGCATGTTCAGACAGAATCAGACCTGTGTGTTCTCATGCATGTTCAGACAGAATCAGACCTGTGTGTTCTCATGCATGTTCAGACAGAATCAGACCTGTGTGTTCTCATGCGTGTTCGGACAGAATCAGACCTGTGTATTCTCATGCATGTTCAGACAGAATCAGACCTGCGTGTTCTCATGCGTGTTCTCATGCGTGTTCGGACAGAATCAGACCTGCGTGTTCTCATGCGTGTTCGGACAGAATCAGACCTGCGTGTTCTCATGCGTGTTCTCATGCATGTTCAGACAGAATCAGACCTGCGTGTTCTCATGCGTGTTCTCATGCGTGTTCTCATGCATGTTCAAACAGAATCAGACCTGTGTGTTCTCATGCGTGTTCTCATGCGTGTTCGGACAGAATCAGACCTGCGTGTTCTCATGCGTGTTCTCATGCATGTTCAGACAGAATCAGACCTGCGTGTTCTCATGCGTGTTCTCATGCATGTTCAGACAGAATCAGACCTGTGTGTTCTCATGCATGTTCAGACAGAATCAGACCTGTGTGTTCTCATGCGTGTTCGGACAGAATCAGACCTGTGTATTCTCATGCATGTTCAGACAGAATCAGACCTGCGTGTTCTCATGCGTGTTCTCATGCGTGTTCGGACAGAATCAGACCTGCGTGTTCTCATGCGTGTTCGGACAGAATCAGACCTGTGTGTCCTCATGCGTGTTCTCGTGTGTTCGGACTGAATCAGACCTGCGTGTTCTCATGCGTGTTCGGACTGAATCAGGCCTGCGTGTTCTTATGCGTGTTCTCATGCGTGTTCTCATGCTTGTCCTCATGCGTATTCTCATGCGTGTTAGGACTGAATCAGACTTGCGTGTTCTCATGCGTGTTTTGACTGAATCAGACCTGCGTGTTCTTATGCGTGTTCTCATGCGTGTTCTTATGCGTGTTAGGACTGAATCAGACTTGCGTGTTCTCATGCGTGTTTTGACTGAATCAGACCTGCGTGTTCTTATGCGTGTTCTCATGCGTGTTCTTATGCGTGTTAGGACTGAATCAGACTTGCTTGTTCTCATGCGTGTTCGGACTGAATCAGACCTGCGTGTTCTTATGCATGTTCTCATGCGTGTTCTTATGCGTGTTAGGACTGAATCAGACTTGCGTGTTCTTATGCGTGTTCTCATGCGTGTTCTCATGCGTGTTCGGACTGAATCAGACCTGCGTGTTCTCATGCGTGTTTTGACTGAATCAGACCTGTGTGTTCTTATGCGTGTTCTCATGCGTGTTCTCATGCGTGTTCTTATGCGTTTTCTCATGCGTGTTCTCATGCGTGTTAGGACTGAATCAGACTTGCGTGTTCTCATGCGTGTTCGGACTGAATCAGACCTGTGTGTTCTTATGCGTGTTCTCATGCGTGTTCTCATGCGTGTTCGGACTGAATCAGACCTGCGTGTTCTCATGCGTGTTCTCATGCGTGTTCTTATGCGTGTTGGGATAGAATCAGACCAGGGGCTTCAGGCAATAACGCAGATTTCTGTGCTTGTGGGAACTCAACCCTTGAGTGCTTTCTCTCTGATGGAATTACTGTTAAGTGCATGCTAACGTGTGCTTCACCCTGTCAGGAAGTAGTTGAAATATTATTATAATGATGTGGCATGTTGGAATGAGTTTTCCCAGGTCAACTTCATTGTCATTTCTTAAATCCAGTGCCACCCACACTTTCACTAGACTTGACAATCAGGTTCATGGTTCATTCTGATCAATCATCAGCAGTCAGTAGATCTGTTCTTCTGTTTTTTCCAGTTCTTAGCAGCAAGGGTCAAACCGGATTGCAAATATTTATGTGAATCAACCCAAAAATATGCAACACACCTTTAAGAGTCACAGGGTGTTTTTAGACCGGGGCCTGATGTATACATGTTGCATATTAGAAAAAAAGACATTGAAATGTGTGTAAGCACATATCAGGATTTATTAAAAAAAAAAAAAAAAAACCTTTACTGGAGTGAGCAAAGTAATGAAGAAACGGAATGATTTTATTAATATACACATTTCGATTAAATATTCCACTCTCATTAATGGAGTTAAGCACTGAAATCACATGGTCATTATCCAGAAGTTAAACAAAAAAATTCTGAATTTAGATAAATGCACTGCTCTTGAACACTTTTCCTGTGGCAGGTAGTATTATTTGAATGTTGTAATGAGAGCTATAGGCCGTGATAATTCCTCTTTAAACTAAACACAAATGGCACACTTTCGTTCCATGTTTGAACCGGCATGAACGAAACCACTGTATTTGAAGCATTTAAAGGAAACAGTCAGATTTGTGATGTTTTTTTTCAATGAGTCAGACAATTTTATTAAAAAATATTTTAAAAAATGCTGATCTGTTTCCATTAAAAATATATAACCATCCTAAAATACAAAAATGCATACATTATACATTTTTATATAAAAATGCTGGATTGTTTCAACCCAAATTTGGGTCAAATATGGACAAAGCCGCTGGTTTAAATCTTGTTATAAAATGGTTGGGTTGTTCCATATTTGACCCAAATTTGGTTTGAAACAATCCAGCATGTTTTAGAGTGACCTTATAGGCAAACATGCTTACATTTTATTTGTTTAAAACAATTAAAAATACTATTTGACAGTGGAAAGAAATGAGTAACTCTTCTCCTATTTTATACGATTTTGGTTTTAGGGATATTTTGATTGATTTATTCTAAAACAAGATAAGGATACTAAATGATATTCAGTAATGTAATGTTAAATGGCATTTACAGTCTGTATCCTAATATTTCCTAACGTCTTGTACTGCTAAACATCGGATCACGTGGATAGGAAAATGCATATGGAAATGATATGCAGATGAGGAAATGCATAGTAAAACTATATATGGTTATTTCAGGAGGGAATTCACCCAAAAATAAAAATATTTTCATAATTTGTGTTGCATTTAAAAAAACAAAACTGTATTTTGTGTGGATGAAGACACAGAAAAGAAATAGTCAAAATCCTCTTTAAATGAAAAGATCCCTTTGAAATGATTAGCATGCAGGGGTTTAATATGAAGGGTGTTTGACCAGGGTCATTACAGGATGTCGGTCATTAAAGACAGTGGTGGAATGTAACGAATTACAAATACTTTGTTACTTTACTTAAGTACATTTTTCACGTAGGGCCTATCTTTACTTTACTTAAGTAGAATAAATAGTGCATACTTTTTACTTTTACTTCGTTACATTTTGCAGCAATTATTATACTTTCTACTCCACTACATTTCTACAACTTCTGTTACATTTTCGTTACATTTTCTGATCAGTTTTTCGCCTGCCAAAACGTAATCTGACCGTCCGTTCGTTGCACGTTTGTCTCACCAGTGACGTTTGGTTGCCATAGATACATCAATTAAATGCGTCTCGCACGCAGTGTGTTTATTGTGCAATTTATACGCGAAAATTTGTTTTTACGTGCATAGGAAACGCACCGTGTGTAATATACGTTTGGTTAGGATTATGGCTAGCCCAGAGGTTCAGAATTACACCATAAATTAATTACGTTTACTGCCAAACGTAGTTATTAACATTTAGTAAGGATAAGCATGATATTGCCTAACTGCAAGCTTGTTTCAGAAATGGTGACAACTATTTTTTTCCATCATTATTGAACATCATTATAGGAGTATTAGGTTGAATGAGTTCGAATTAAATGTTTAATTAATCATTAGAAAATAGACATTAAGAGAATCAATTGTTATTCAAGTACTTTTACTTTTAATACTTAAAGTAAATTTAAAATCAGGTACTTTTTACTTTTCACTTAAGTATGGTTGTCGTTGTGTTACTTCTACTTTTACTAAAGTAAATATTTATCTGGTTATTTGTACTTTTCCTCCACCACTGATTAAAGATCATGGCAGTCCACGAGGCGCCAGAATGAGGTGAAGAACTGGGGTCATTAAGGCTATCTTAGATCCTGTTTAATTTCAGCGCGTTCCCTTTTTCTCGTACTTTCATTCCTCTAATCCGGTGTTTGCGCTGAGCAAGCGTCTCGAGTTCCTCCGAAGCGCTGAAGATCTCGTGTGTGTTCCTGGAGAACAGGGAAGCGAGAGGAGGAATCAGGACCTCTATTGATTGTGCAATCTTGTTTTCAATGTCTGTTTTGTAGTTTTGAAGCTTATTCGCTGCTGGTCTGATCTGACAGTGAAAGATGCAATGCATACTGTGCAGTATTTCAGTTTTAAAAAGTGTGTAAATTGAGTAAATATTGTGTAAAATATAAGTGTGCATGTAATTCCCACATCTGTATTTAATTCATTTTGTGTATGTCTCATTTTGGCATTGATTTGTATAGAGAAGAATATACAGAACATTTTATAAATATATTGAGAAAATATCATGTACCCCATGTTTTTCTGGCCTGGTTGAACTTTGAGTTTGTGTCTCAAACACTGTTGACTTCCAGTAAACATGAGGACCAAAGTTCATTAAACATGACTAACCCAACGTCATAAAAGCCTGAATATTATCTATAGCGTTCTCCTAAATTATATCCAGGAAATCCTAACTCTCTCTGTGTTTCTCTGCAGATATGGGTCGGTTGTCCCTCGTTTTTCTGGCCGCTTTACTTCGGGCAACCGAATGTGGCGTAATATCAAATAAGGACCCTTTAGTTTCAGGTAAGAAGTTTCCCATTCTAACTTTATACTGGCTGCAGGATATACTGGTGCTCGCTGAAGACGTTCGGTCATAAACTCTGCAGGATGGGAATGATGATGAGCGTTACGGAGGGTTTCATACAAAAGATATCGATATCTAAAGAAGTAACATGATAATCTAGACTGGATTATAGTTTTATAATCTAGAATTTCCCTCACAGCTAAAAGATGAAATTCACCATGAATGTTTCTGAACTGAACATGTTGAACAAACTGAACTGAACAAACTGTTGAAATCTGCTCAAATTAATTTACAACCACTAAGTTGTAGAAAATATAAAATTATTCTTATTAGATCTGTCTATATAAGCTATTTTTAAGTTTCTTATTTAGTTTCAGTTATTTTAGTACCTAAACAAAAGCAAAAGAGAAATGTTGATTTGGCAACTAGCTACTTTTTAAGTAATGACAATGTTTTTTAAAATATATAAAAGCAAAAATAACTTGAGGCAGAAATTGTGGCGCTGGTGCAGATGAGCCTCACATGCAGCAAAAGCCCGAAATCATGGCCAGATTCGACATTCGGCCACATCTACCTGCATCTCATCGCCACGAGTCAATGAAGGCGGACTAATCTTTAGATGCCTATAAGTCATAATTACGATTATTACTTGTGTTAACTAAGGATTTAACTGGTGAATGTGTTACAACTACGGTAAAATAGAGGTGTAATTTGTCCATGGGCTATATTTCGAATCAAAATGATCTGATCTCTGATATATAACATTGGTCAACATATGCGTAAGGTTAAGACTAAAACTCTGGTTTATATGGGAAACATTCCTTTCTGGCTTGTCATTGTGTGTGTTTTGTGTCATTGTGTGTATGTATGTGTCATTGTGTGTGTGTTTGTGTCATTGTGTGTGTGTTTGTGTCATTGTGTGTGTTTATGTGTCACTGTGTGTTGTCTTGTTCAGTAACGTCTTGATGTTCTCCAGAGTCCTGCAGGGACTTCGGCCTGGCGTTCGAGCGCATGTTTGCGGTGCGCGGGGAGTCTCCGCTGCTGGAGTGTCCGCTGCACATCCAGGCTCTGTTCGATCCCGCGGAAACGCCGTATAACGTGACGTGGTTGGAGGAGAGAACGGGCTCGCAGATCACCGGCGGGCCGAACGTCTCGCTCGCTGGAACATCTCTGTGGTTCCCCAACGTCAGCCGGCAGAGCCAGGGCACGTACGTGTGTGTGCTCAGGTACGTGTGTGTGTGCTCAGGTATGTGTGTGTGTGCTCAGGTACGCTATATAAATATAGGTGACTTGACTTCTTTCCATTGGCATAAACAGCCAATATTGTGTCTGAAATGTGAGCCGCTGTATGAACTGTCTGTTGAACCGCAGTCGTGCTCATATTCAGAAGAACAGCTCGCTTGATCATGGGATATTTCCTCACTACAGCCTTTCTAGAAGGATAAGAGAGACTCCTAAAGGGGGTTAGTGTCCACATATGTTGATTCGGGGGTGTCTGCAGTAACATAGGCTGCCGGATGAGCTTTATCGGTCTGGTTTGTCTGAGAGCGCTTCAGCAGAGGATGTGGTGAATCTGAACTCGGGGTGACGGCCTTCCCACGCAACAGAAGAAATAAGACGCGTCATTCAGCTTGAAGAGCTAGAGCTATTTCCAGCGCCAGAGCGGCGAGATGTTTTCCACTGCGCTCGTGTGTTCGAGACTCGCTCTGTTGACCCAAGAAATACATGATGGAAAGATCAGGATGTGTGTGAAGTGTCCAGGATGGTGAGAAGAGCAAACCAGAGCAGAGCAGATGTTGACCTTTAGACAACACACACACTCACACACTCACTGTAATCCCAGAAAACATGCTGATTTGTGTAATGGTGAACAGGGTGTTCTTCACTGATCTTCCTCTAACGATTCCCCGTGCGTCTCAAGCCGAAGGGTGTGTGTGACTGGTTTCTTATTTACTTATTTATTTTATTTTTTATACAGTTTTATATTGTTAATATTTTGTTTGGTACTGAGTTAATAATTATTTATTGTTTTTAAATTTGTTTACTTTTACATTTATCTATTTATAGTTATTTACATTTAATTCTTTTTTTATTTACATATACAATTATTAAACGAACAAATAAAATTATTTATTATTTTTATTTGCTTAATATTTATTTATTGTTGTTTTATCATTTTTTATAGTAATTTAAATTTGATTTAATTGTTTTATTACTTACTTTATTTACATATTATTATTATTATTATTATTTTGAGAGAGAGAGAGAGAGAGAGAGAGAGAGAGAGAGAGAGAGAGAGAGAGAGAGAGTCAGTGTGTGTGTGTGTGTGTTGCTTATTATAATGTTGATCTGGGAACACAGTGTGTGCCATTTCACAATATTTGTGCCGTAACTCGTTTGTAAGTCTCCACCAGCACAGGCGAACATAGACATGTTTCTGTCATGTGGATTGTTGTTCGTGGTGATTTTGAAGTGAAAGTTTAACTCTCGCTGTGAGTTTGCATGTTTAGATGTGCACATTACAGTGGCTGTTGCATGTCTATCGTATAAAAGTGAGCAGATATTAAAGATTAAGTGGACATAGAACAGATTTAGTCAATGACACGGATCTGGTCAGCAATCACCAGGCCGCTGGCGCCTCGCGCATCTGTTATACATTGTTTAATAAGTTATGTTTATATTAGTTAAATTTTTTAATGGTGTATTTTAACAATGTTGTTTAATACAATTATTACTTATTATACAGTATATTTGTTATTTCCACATTTTTATCTGATTACTTGATTTATCGATGGATTAATCGGTAGAATTGTCTATTACTAAAATAATCAATAGCTACAGCTTTTGCTTTAAAAAAGGATTTCATAGAAATGTGGATTTCATTAGTAGTTTGACTTCTTCTGTCCTCTTTATCCAGCTGTGATGAACAGAAGATCCCAGAACATCTGGATATATTCAGAACATGCTGACTTTCTCAGACTTTTGTTATTATTATTTTATTTATTAGGGCCCAAGCCCTGAAAGGGCGAAGGCCCTATTGTTTTCCTAACGATTATTATTATTATTATTATTTATACGACTATTTGGGCACTTTTGGGGCCCTTAACATGCTCAAAAACTCTTGAAACTTTGCACACGGGTCAGAATCCGCGGCCATCAGGGCCGGGCTGAAGATGGTACCCGGGCGTGGCAGGGGGGCTAGACAGCGCCCCCTGGAACGGGGTCCGAACACTTGGTCCATAAATCAAACACGCTTGCATGTAATAATATGAAACTCGGTACACATGTCGATCTCATCGTTTCATATATACCTCGCGCTTTTACTTTTTACCCCAGCCCAACAGGAAGTCGGTTATTTAGGGTTGTTCATAAAACACTCGCAATGGAATTTGAAGTACTCCTCCTAGAGAATTCAAACACATGGCACGAAACTCGGTCAGCATGAAGTCAAGGCATTGAAGATGAAAGTTTGCGAGGGGATTTTTGATATCTCGAACGGTTTGGCCGTGGCGAGGAAACGAAATTATGGCGAGAATCGTGAAACAGGAAGTGTGTCAGAACTTCAGCATACATTAACTGATCTTGATGAAACTTCAGTAGTTTGTTTGCTGTAAGAGGACGATCACATGGATGTGAATATTGTGAGTCAAAGTTATAGCGCCACCAACTGGCAGCAGGAAGTGTGTCACTTTCAAAATGCTTTGAAATCACCCTCTTATTTTTACCCGATTTGCTTCAAACTTAATCTGTATAATGTAAATACATAGCAGATGAAGACCTGTCAATGGATTCTTGATATCTTTGATACTGTTGCCGTGGCAACGCATCAAACTTTAAAATTCTTTTTTTTGATGATTTTGAGACTCTTAGCGGCTTTTGGGGCCCTTAACGGGTTTGAAAACTCTTGAAACTTTGCACACAGGTCAGATCCCACAGCCATCAGAGCCGGGCTGAAGATGGTACCTGGGTGTGGCAGGGGGGCTAGACAGCGCCCCCTGGAACGGGGTCCGAACACTTGGTCCATAAATCAAACACGCTTGAATGTAATAATATGAAACTCGGTACACATGTTGATCTCATCGTTTCATCTATACCTCACACTCTTACTTTTTACCCCAGCCCAACAGGAAGTCGGCTATTGAGGTTTGTTTGTAAAACGCTCGCAATGGAATGTGCAATACTCCTCCTAGAGAATTCAAACACACGGCACGAAACTCGGTCAGCATGAAGTCAAGGCATTGAGGATGAAAGTTTGCGAAGGGATTTTTGATATCTCGAACGGTTTGGCCGTGGCGAGGAAACGAAATTATGGCGAGAAACGTGAAACAGGAAGTGTGTTATAACTTCAGCATACATTAACTGATCTTGATGAAACTTCAGCAGTGTGTTCGCTGTAAGAGGACGATCACATGGATGTGACTATTGTGAGTCAAAGTTATAGCGCCACCAACTGGCAGCAGGAAGTGTGTCACTTTCAAAATGCTTTGAAATCACCCTTTTATTTTTACCCGATTTGCTTCAAACTTAATCTGTATAATGCAAATACATGGCAGATGAAGACCTGTGAATGGATTCTTGATATCTTTTAAACTGTTGCCGTGGCAACGCATCAAACTTTACCATTCTTTTAGGATGCTTTTGAGACCCTTAGCATGCTTCAAATCGCATGAAACTCGACAGACACATCACATTTATTAGCCAGTAGACATGTGCAAAGTTTCAGAAACGGGCGTGGTGAGGGCTCAGTAGCACCACCTTTTGACAAAAGTGGGGTTGTTAGTTTTAACTAGAGTTACAAAAATCGGTATGTATATTGTACTCCTCGAGCCGGACAACTTTCTAATTGACACTCATTAGCTAGGACCCACAGAAAGTCAGATATCTTTGTTTGAATGTAGAGAAAATCTTAGAATTTTGCCAGTCTCTCAGTGTCTCTCTGTGTGATTGAGAGGAGGGGCGCCTGTCAGGTTAATTTTAACCCTTTATTTGCTGTGTGCGACTTCTCTGGCATTTTCGGGGGCCTTAACATCCTCTAAAACTCTTGAAACTTTGCACACGGGTCAGAACCTATGGCCATCAGGGCCGGGCTGAAGCTGGTCATCGGGCGTGGCAGGGCGGCTCGACAGCGCCCCCTGGACTGGGATTCGAACATTTGTCCATAAATCAAACACACTTGCGTGAATTAATATAAAACTCGGTACAATTATAGATCACATCAGGCCAAACAACTTTCATGCTCTAAGTTTTACGACAATTAAAATGGAAGTTGAGAATTATAGGTTGTTTGAATAGTTGTCCTAGGAGAAATACATCAAATTACAACGCATGTGTTTACCAATCACAACCAAACTCGGTGTGCAAGAAGTCAAGACATTGAGGATGAAAGTTTGTGAGGGGATTTTTGATATCTCAAACGGTTTGGCCGTGGCGAGGAAACGAAATTATGGCGAGAAACGTGAAACAGGAAGTGTGTTATAACTTCAGCATACATTAACATATCTTGATGAAACTTCATCAGTGTGTTCGCTGTAAGAGGACGATCACATGGATGTGACTATTTCGAGTCAAAGTTATAGCGCCACCAACTGGCAGCAGGAAGTGTGTCACTTTCAAAATGCTTCGAAATCAACCTCTTATTTTTACCCGATTTGCTTCAAACTTCATCTGTATAATGTAAATACATGGCAGATGAAGACCTGTGAATGGATTCTTGATATCTTTGATACTGTTGCCGTGGCAACGCATCAAACTTTAAAATTCTTTTTTTTGATGATTTTGAGACTCTTAATGGCTTTTGAGGCCCTTAACGGGTTTGAAAACTCTTGAAACTTTGCACACAGGTCATATCCCACAGCCATCAGGCCCGGGCTGAAGATGGTACCTAGGCGTGGCAGGGGGGCTAGACAGCGCCCCCTGGAACGGGGTCCGAAAACTTGGTCCATAAATCAAACACGCTTGCATGTAATAATATGAATGAAAAACTTCATCTGTATAATGTAAACAGATGAAAAACTTCATCTGTATAATGATGAAAAACAGATGAAAAACTTCATCTGTATAATGTAAACATACGGTAGATGTAGACCTGTGAATGGATTCTTGATATCTTTTAAACTGTTGCCGTGGCAAAGCTTCAAACTTTGAAATTATTTTAGGATGCTTTTGAGACTCTTAGCATGCTTGAAATTGCATGAAACTCAACAGACACATCACATTTATTAGCCAG